TGTGTGTGTGTGTGTGTGTGTGTGTGTGTGTGTGTGTGTGTGTGTGTCTGCAGACACTCCTGTGTTCACCGGGAGGTCAAAGGGCAGCTTTTGGGAGTCATTCCTCTCCCTCCACCCTGGATTCTGGAGACTAACATCGGGCCAACGGACTTCCACAGCAGGTACTTTTCCGGCTGAGCCACGGTCTCCCTGGCCTGGAAAATCTTTTAGACCTGGGTCATCCAGAAAAGTATTTGAAGTTGACAGCTCTATAAAACATTAATACTTGGCCGTTACAGAAATATTAAAAACAACAACAACAACGACTTACCATGTAAAGAAAATAAAAATCACTTGGAAGCCTCAAAATCATCGAATGGATTTAAATAAACGCTCCTTGCGCCGACGCTCTGAGCTGCCCCGCTTTTCCTTGGCTCCACAGCATGGCACCGTTGTTTTCTGTGCCCTCAGACTGCAGATTCACGGAAAGTGAACATTCTCTCTGTTGTTTTGCCGTGCAGCCGGATGTGGACAAGGCGGTGGAGGCCGCACAAGCTGCCTTCCAGCGGGGCTCTCCGTGGCGCCGGCTGGATGCCCTGAGCCGAGGCCACTTGCTGCACCAGCTGGCTGATCTTATAGAACGGGACCGCGCTATCCTGGCAGTGAGTAAATGCGCTGGGCAGGTGGGGGAGGGGGCTGCCCTCACTACCCCTCCCCCCCTCCGGGGCCTGTCCACACGGGATGCGGCTGGAAACATCTGAGGTGCCTGTTTTGTGTGGCCATGGGTCTGTTGGGTCTTTGGATGTGGGTAGCAGGTGTCCGTGTCCCTGGACTTCATCCTTGTCATCTTGAAGTCAGGCTCCCTCCACCTCCATCTGCCCTGCCCCCTCCTCCCCGCCCCTCAGGGCAGCTCAGCTTCTAGGCCAAGCTATGTAAAGGAAGTTCATCTGCCTTAGCGGTTTCCAGAGTAGAGACATTCACAGCCAGTCAGCAGAGGCTGGGCTCACCTGACCTCACCTGGTCATCTATGTAGTAATGATTTCTTCTTCACGTTAGCTTCCCTGCAAACATAAATTTAACCCCATCATAGCTCTGCTATTCTCCTCTGATCTGAGGCTTCAGTTATCCAGAATCACCCTAGCCCAAAAATATTACATGGAAAAATCCTAGAAATAAGCAATTGGCCTTGTATTATCGCAGGGAGCTGTTAAAATTTTATTAGTTGCTTCCTTTCGTCTCTTATGGTGACTTACAAGCTAAGATGTATTGTGGAAACTTAGCACAGGAGAAAAAATACAGTATGTATTGAGGGGTTAGTCACTCCCTGAAGGCCTAATGCTCTGGTTGTAGCCTTTTTATAAGTTTATTAAAACAAATGATGCTGTTCATAGAAAATCAAAGTCCTTGCATTATCCGAATGTATTCCTTATGGCCCCTGAACTGGGCAGTGGTGAGCACGCGTGCAGACTGTTGGAAAGAAGACTCACAGCCTAAATGCTCTAAGTTCAAATCCTAGCTTTGCCACTTACTAATTACGTTCTAGTTTCTGACTGCCTGAGATTTACTTCTTCAGGTGGAATGTCACAGATAATGATATCCAAGTGTTGTGGGGGAGGGGAGGGAGCCATTAAGAATCCTGAACAGAGTCCTCCACATACAATAGTATAATAGTAAGGTAACTATTATAGGTAATAGCGATCATCATGTTGATGCTACATGAGCCTTCAGGCTCTGACCCAAGCTGCCCTGCCTCCCTGCTGGCCAGGAACTCTCAGAAAACTTAGCTTCCCTGCTAGGAAACAGTCCAGCATCGTAATACAGCCTGCCCGTGGTAGTACACAAAGGCTGCAGGGCTGGGAAGGTGTTAATATGCTGAAAGTCAGCCCTCCTTTGGTCCTGAGGCAGATGACCTGAAGACATCTCTGAGCCACAGGAAGTCTTTGGGTTTTTTGTTTTTTGTTTGTTTGTTTGTTTTTGTTTTTTATATTTTCCAGTTGTTATTACTTGTAGGGGATACAAGTAATATTACTTGCCACAGCATACATGCAGAGATCAGAGGACAACTTTCAGGATCTGGGTCTCTTCTTTTACCATACAGATTCCAAGGATCCAACTTGGGTCCTCAGGCTTGGAGGCAAGCACCTGTTCCTGGAGTTACATCACTGGTCCCATGGGTGGGTGGAAGGGGAGTGTCTCAGACCCATCACAACCTCCGCTCTAACTGTTGCACAGTTCAATTTCTTGATTAAAATTTTGTTTCAACCGTGAGACCCAATTCGTAGGAGGCAACATCTCCTTTTTGGTCTTTGATTTTTTTTTAATGTTTTTGTTTTTCTGATGTTGAAAACCAGGAGAGTAGCCTCCCTTTTAAAGAACAGAATCAGCTAGGACACTGGATTGCTTTTGTCCTGAGTGTGTGTATTCCTTGGGGCTAGGGGCTCCTTGACAGAGCTCTGCAGATATCACGGAGCTGTTTCCTTCCTCCCACTTGCTAGGCCTCATAGTCACAGGAATGAAACCTAAGCGAGTGCAGCTCCCTCCCAGGGTAAAACTCCAGAGAGCCTCTGGTTCCTTCCTGCACCGAAAACCAGCCGCACTGTTCAAGCTGCCAAACTGGCTTTTTCAAAAACATTTCTGTTTTCCTCCGCATGAGCTCATCAGTCTGCAATGTCCGTGAGTACTAATAGCAGGCTCAAGAGGATGTGCCCTGGGCAACCCTCCCTGCCCTGCCCTCAAGCATCAGTGCCATCTGTGACAGTGCACGGCCACCTTCCTCTCAGGCCCCATCACCCTGGCACTACAGCACATTGAGAGCAGACAGAAAGCAGGTAGGAGGAATGGGGACACCGCCCAGCACATCGTTCCTGCCATGGCAACCTGGTTGCCCACAAGAAATAAGATCCAGCTTTTGGCCCCAACATTAAAGGGACCCAAGAATGACTGGGAAATATGGCTTTGAAAACTCTGACCACATCACAGGAGGGCGCCCCTCACTCGCCACCTTGATATGGTTTCCTGCCTTTTTGAGTAGCGAAGTGCTTTATTCTGTCCTATTCTCTCGCCAGCTCAGCGGTTTGATGGAGCTGGGTGTGTTTATTCAGTGTTCAAAGTTCAGAAACAGATGTCGGGGCCTCAGTGACTTGTGACTTTTTAGCTTTGTTGAGGCACCCTGGGCCCATGCTCTAGCTCTCGCGGTGCTCATCCAGGTAGGTGACACACAGCACCCATCCTTGATAGGAGGTTAACCTTTCAACTTGGCTGCCTTTTCTAGATTTTCATTTGCAGTCTGGGCATGCTGGCATTTTGGGCAACCATACCAGCACTCAATTGTCCTGTAGTATCTGAACGTTGAGAAGCATTGATTTTTCAGAAGGTGCATTTTTTTTTCTCTCAATGGGGTAAAGTTAGCCTGGGAGTGGCTAAGGTGGCTCATGTTCGAATCACAGCAGGAAGACAGCTCTCTGCTCCAGTCTAGAGATAAACTTGATTTCTCAAGCTCAGTCCTCTAAACTCCAGTCTTCACCCCCCTCCTTCTTCTCCTCCTCCTTCACCACCACCTCTTCCTCCTCTTTCTCCTCCACCACAACCTTCTCCTCCTCCTTCTCTTCTTTCTTTTTTCCACTGTGCATGTGGAGATGTGCATGTGTCTTAGTTAGGGTTTCTATTGCTGTGACAGAACACCATGGCCAAAAGCAGCAGTTTCCAAAAGAGGAAATGGTTTCTTTCAGCTTACAGCTAACTGTCAGGTCACACTCCGTCACTGGGGGAAATCAGGACAGGAACTCAAGGCAGGAACTGAAGCAGAAGCCGTGTTAGTGTGATGCTCACTGGCTTGTTCCTCACAGCTTGCTCAACCTGTTTTCTTATACCATCCAGAACTACCTGTCCAGGGTTGGCACTGCCCACAGTGATCTATGGGCCCTCCCTAATCACTCATTAATTTAAAAAAAAAAATGCCCTCACAGACTTGTCTACAGACCAATCTGCTAAGGGCATCTTCCCAGGTGAGGTTCTTTCTTCCCAAATGACTCTAGCTTGTGTCAGGCCAACAAACCAGTAGCCAGCACAGCATATGAGTGTAGATGTCCATGCACACATTTCCTGTGCGTGTGGAGGTCAGAGGTCAACATCATGTGTTGTTCCACAAGAGCCGTCGACTTTGGTTGTTTTTTTTCTGAAACAATTTCTGATTGGCTTGGAGCTTACTAATTAAGTTTATTGACCAGTGAGCCTGGGGCATCTGTGTCTGCCTTTTTCAGGCAGGAATTACAAGAGCGTGCTGTCATACCTGGCTTTTCTCAGGCGTGGGCTCTGGGGGTTGAAATCAGCTCCTCACACTAGCATAGCAAGCTCCAAGCTTCTGGGCCATCTCCTTAGCTTCCCCTCCCCCTTAAAGAACTGGGTTTTGTTTACACAGATTCATTACAACCAACCCAGAAAATTCAAGTCATTACTTTACCAAGCCATCTTGCCTAAATTAACAATTTAAAAATCTGTAGGCAATGCTTATTGAATGCCCTCCACGGGCCTGGGCTCTGGGCTTGTAGTATATTATCTCACTTCAAAGTCAGGAAGTTGAGGCTCAGAAAAAGTAAGCTCTGTGTCCAAGTCCACCAAGCCAGAGGCAGAAATCCAGGATGGGAGGCAGATGGTTGCCATGTTCCAAAATTTCCTACAATGCTCCATCAATGTCTTCTCCCTTGCCTTATCACAGCAAAGAGTCAAGAACAGAGAGACTCCTAGCTTCATGCACAGATGTGTTCATGCACATGGGAGCTGGGGGCCCTTGGACTTTTTTTTTTTTTTTTTTGAGACAAGGTTTCTCTGTGTAGCCTTGGCTGTCCTGGACTCGCTTTGTAGACCAGGGTGGCCTCGAACTCACAGAGATCCACCTGCTCCTGCCTCTGCCCTTCCCCCTGCCCTTTCCCCTGCCCCTGCCCCTGCCCCTGCCTCTGCCTCTCTCAGTGCTGTATTACAGGTGTGCACCATTGTGTCAAATGCTTTGGACATTCTTGCAAGTGCCAGGCTTCTCCTCAGAAAACGGATGCCAATCCATGGGGACCAAGGGTACAGGGTACTGTGTGCCAAGCTGGCCTCCAAGCGGTTGGGACTGAGGGTAGGACTCAGGCTCTCAGACCTAGCCACGTTCTACCATCTTCAGCAAGTCTGAGTCTGTCCTGCTCAGGGACACAGTGAGGATCACCAAGCACCGTCCAGTGCATAAGAGAAAGCAGGACTGTCCACCAGGTAGCACGTGGGCATTCACACTGCAGCGGGCCACCCATTTGAGTGTTATGTTCACCGATTCCCTTACTTCACACACCAGCCCCAAGAGGGTAAAACTGTCAACAGCTTCCTCTTACGGCAGAGGAAACTGAGGGGGAAGACATTTGGGGTCTCAGCCAGCGTCAATCAGAAGTTGTCTGTTCCTGTGGCTAGAGCGATGGCCCAGTTGACAGAGTGCTTGCTGCACACATATGAAGACCCAAGTTTGGATCCTCGGCACCATGTACTAAGCTAGGCCTGGCGGGATGCGCCTGTAAACCTCAGGGCTGAGGAGGTGGAGAGAGGAGAATCTCAGAGCTCATGGCCAGTCAGTCTCGCAAAATCAGTGAACTCCAGGCTCAAAGAGTACATGGCAAGCAATTGAGGAAATTCTACATACATACTCACTCACGCACATTCTCCCACAACGCACATGAATATGTACACACATACATACCACACAACCTCAGAAGGGGTTGTTTCTTTCGGTTGTCTCCGAAGCAAAGGTCAGACAGAAAAGCCTTGACTATCTCAAGTCTTCCAAATGTCCCAGGGACAGCCACCTAATGGGTGATAGCTAAGACAGCTGGACGTTAGTGCTGGCTGCTTGTTCAGCTTCGGGGGTCACTGGGCCCTGAACTTCAGAGTCTGCGTGTTCATCTGTATGTTCTATTGGGAACAGAGCCATCCATCACACGATAAGACATAAGCAAGTGCCTTGAGTAGGAATGAAGAGGCACCTCCCTTCCTCTTTCTGGCATCATCTGGCTTCATGGAGGCTTCAGCAGGAATCCAGCCCCAGGCAACACATCGGGTGGATAACTTCTGTGAAACTGGGGGCGGGGGGGGGGAGGCCTCAGCATAGTGCTCCATGGGGCTGCTTATGTGAGGGACAAAGGCGTTTCAGTCACCGAGGCTAGAAATAGAAAAGAATCCCAACATTGACCAGCGGCACCCCAGCCTGGGTGACTGCCTCGTCTAGCTAGCTGGCCCTCCCTACTCTGTTTCCACATCCGGCCGGGAGCCTGCTTGGAAAGCATGGCATCTTTGTGCTGGTGGCCTGACCCTCCTGAGCTCCATCATTTTTTTCCGCTGCCACACTGACCAGCTCAGCCGAGAAGGAAAAACCAACGTCTTCCCTTTCTATTTTGTTAGAATTAAAGAAGCCATCCTATTGCCAGCCAAACTTCTGGAAGCTCCCTAGGGATGCATGAATTCATGTGTCTGGATGGTATGGTGGAGACCGCTGTGCTCTGGGGATGGATGAGCAAATGCTAGGGTAGATGGCGCCCAGCACACCTTTAAATGAGTGTCAATGTAGATATTGTCCATGCTTTTCCAGCCCCCTGGCAATAAAGGGGGTCAATCCTTGCCAGTCCAGGCAAGTCCATTTCCTTGTAGAGACAAGCTTCCTGAGGCAGTGTGTAAGGACTGAGGTCTAGAGAATTACGCCCTGGGGCGATGCTTTCTCCAGCACCCCTCTGCTTAACAAATGGACGACAAAAGAAAGCTGTGTCTACAAAAGACATCGTCTTGTCCTTGCAGACCCTGGAGACCATGGACACCGGCAAGCCATTCCTTCATGCCTTTTTTATGGACCTGGAGGGCTGTATCAAGACCTTCAGATATTTCGCCGGGTGGGCAGACAAAATCCAGGGCAGGACCATCCCCACAGGTGAGTCTGCATGGACCTGAGCCTCGGCTGGGACTATTGGGGGAATCTGTCTTCTCCTCCCTCCATACCCTTTCCCCTGCCGTATACCCCCACCATGGGCTCTCTCCCCACATGGCACCATGTTGAGTCTTTTCTATGGAATTCAATTTGCATTTTGACCTTGAGCTCAGATCACTTCTTTGATAAAAGACCTGGCACCTTTGTAGGCTTTTCCATTTTTTTTTTCTCTTAAGTTTTACCATGAGAAATACTTTTTTTGTTTGTTTGGTTTGTGTTTTTGTTATTGTTTGTTTTGTTTCATTGTTGTTTTGAGACAGTCTTTTAGCTTTGGCTGTTCTAGAACTCACTATGTACACCAGGTTGGCCTTGAACTCCCAATAGATCCACCTGCCTTTGCCTCCCAAGTGCTGGGATTCAAATGTGCCACCAAGCCTGGGTCCATGTGAAATTCTTAGCCATGACTGTGTTCTTACCCGTGTCACCTCTCTTGCAGATGACAACGTGGTTTGCTTTACCAGGCATGAGCCCATTGGGGTGTGTGGCGCCATTACACCAGTAAGTACGGACACTTTCCTCCACAGACTCTGTGTCTGCCCACTGTAACTACTGCTGGCCAAATGCAAGGCGGGGGGGGGGGGGGGAGGCGGGTAACAAGGCTCCATGCCTGAGGGCTCCTGAGATAGTTCAGAGTGTTTGGCAGGAGTGGATTCCAGCAGAGTGGTCAGTCCGAAGTGGCCGGCTTCTCTGGGGCAGAGTCCCCTAATTGAGCCTCCTGGAATAGGAAAGTTTGGTCAGCATAGAAGAGGGCTTTGCAAGCAGTAGGACCTGCCTGGACAAGAGCATGGACCTGTTGCCCCCTTGGAAGGAAGCAGAGAAAGGCTGTCAAGTAGAAGCTTAGGCTAGGATGAGCACGCTGGCTGCTGGCAGGGCCTGTTCTTATAGTCTGGGATGCCAAGGGGCTGAGCCCTCTGCCTGTTGGAGAACTCAGTGCTGCCTATCTGTCCGGGGAGCCCTGGGCCACTTCAGAGCAGCTGAGTGGATGAGGACCGAAGAGACAAGAAAAATGGCGCCCCTTTGGCAGGCACCTTGGAGGCAGTAGGGAGACACATAGGGACACACATAGGGTATAGGGTAGAGCTGCTCCGCATTAGCATCTTCCAGGGTGCAGCCAAGCGAGCAAGCACTGGGCTCCTGCAGTCTTGCATACTCCAAAACTATCCTCCAAAGCCCAATCCAGACCGTACAAAGGAAGTGTCCTCCACAGAGGTGGCTGGGCCCTGGGATCAGGGCACAGTGGACCTGAGCTTCAGGGCCCCCTTCTTGTGCTCTGACACAGTGGAACTTCCCCATGCTGATGCTGGCCTGGAAACTGGCCCCTGCCCTGTGCTGTGGGAACACCGTGGTCCTGAAGCCAGCTGAACAGACACCCCTCACTGCCCTGCACCTCGGCTCTCTCATCAAAGAGGTAAGAAAACTGAGAGGAAGATATTTTGTATTCTATAGAGAGCCACACACCCAAGAGCTAGGCACCATGGAAAGCTGTGACAGAGGCCACCGGCTCACCACGTAGAGGGAAGGGCGTGACTGTTTTGCTTGGTGACCATACACGTGGTGACTGAGCTGGAGCTGCTGGTCCTCCCCTATGGCCTTAATAAGAACCTGCCTCTCTCACTAAGGCACAATCCAGTGGTTAGCCCTCTGTGTTTTACCTAGAGCAATGCAGAAGGGAGCCAGATAAGTTATCCGCAAGCTCCCCGGATCCTGGGCTCAGTGGCCACGGGAAGTGAAATGGCCCTTGCTCCTCTGGGGAGGGTGGCCTTGCCAGCTAGCTAGGTAGTTAGTTGCAGCTGTGTGTAGATTCTCAGGAGCCTCCACGCTGTCTTCCTCGCCCCAAGGGAGCCACCACTCGGGGAAGCAGTGGCCTAGAGGGGCACCTGGCAGACACACCTGGCAGCATATTTCAGCCATTCCATCATCAGCATGCGTGCAGCAGAGATTAAGAGAGCAGGAAGAAAGACGAGCTGGAAGAAAGGCAACCGTTTCACTCCCAGCTGGGCTGAGGCAGCTGGGAGGAGCAGGCTGTACTGCTTGAAGGAGGCTCGGGCCGCTGTAAGCAGCCAGGTCGGCCCTTCCTCTTCCTGGCCACGCGTGCTTATCCCATGAGCGAGACCCTAGGATCCAAAACTCACAGCCGTTACAGAATAATGCCTAAGACACTAAAGAGTCAGACATTTAAAAGATGACATTAAAAAGAAAAAGAGTCACAGACAAGGCCCAGCCATGTTGGGAATGGCGCCGGCTACCCCATAGGGTTGGTGAAAGTCATGTTAATGGGGAGGTCCCCCTGTGTGCCGCACGTGAGTGTAAGTATGGAAGAATCAGCAGCCCCTTGACTCAGTGAGTGCCAACCCCGCGTGAGCCCAGTGGGCCAGCAAGGGGAAGGATTTCTCGTTTTACCAGGATGAGCATGGGGCAGAGTAAGTTCCAGCACTGACTTGGCAAGAGCACAGGTGCCTGGGAGGAGGTGACCAAGATGCCTCTCCTTCCCTCAACACACACACACACACACCAGAGTCACATATGCTCTCATATTCATGTTCACATGCACATGCACACACAGAATCACATACGAACTCACACGTACAAGTGCACGCATTCACACATTCATGCTCACACACACAAATACTCTCTTACAAATAAAAAGGCTCTCACACACCCATTCTCTCTTACACCCCCCCCCCCACATACACAGCCACATTCTCTCATATTCACATCTATACACATGCGGACATACATGCACACACACAGATATATACATGCACACGTGTCTCCCAGTACACACAGACACACACACACACACACACACACACACACACACACACCCTGGCAGTCTATACAAGAAGGCCACTGCCACCTAGTGGCATCCCTGAACGTTTGCCCCTGAGCCCTGCTGGGATGACAGGCTCTTGCTGGGGGTGATCAGCTCACCCCCAGCTGGCAGCAGAGGTTTAGAAGGCCTGCACAGCCTGGGAGGAGGGGTGTGCAGCTGATGTGGGGACATCCTAGCCAGCATGCGACCCAGCTGCTCTGTGGCGTTACATGGCCACAACTCCTGCCACCCCTGCAGATCCTTTGATACCATTTCTGTCCTACCCAGGTCGGGTTCCCTCCAGGTGTGGTGAACATTGTGCCAGGCTTTGGGCCCACCGTGGGAGCAGCAATCTCCTCCCATCCGCAGATCAACAAGATAGCCTTCACCGGGTCCACAGAGGTAAGCCCCCTTGATGAGCTGCTGGCAAACACAACAAACGCTCCATTATTTGAGACCCACAGACGTTTCCTCAAGGAGCACAAATAATATTTGCTCCTTTTTTTTTTTTTTTTTTCTAAATCTAACTGTGTTCTAACTATTGGTAAAATGTTACTGTTTCAGTTCCCAAATTAAATAGTTAATAGAATTTGAAAGCCTTAGGGAGATAAGATAAAATAAAAATGTAAAACATCTATATAGTAAACAATGTCATTAAGACTAAGGGATGATAAACAAGTTGGGAGAAAACCAGTGTGTTGCATGTAGCTCTCCAAATGTTTATATAGTCCTCATATGTGAAGAGCACCTACAAATCAATAAAAAAAAAAGAAGACAAGCAGAATGATGGGGGAAAGAGACATCTCCGAGATGTCTAGCCTGATATTCACCCCACTCCTGTCCTTCCCTTTGGTAGCCAGGGTAGGCATCCTTAGACCCTAGTCAGAATTAGAGTCTGGTCTACAGCCACCATTCCCCCTGCATGGCATTAAACATCCTGGCAATGTGGACGCCGAGCTTCCCCGGCTGGTCTCAGGGTCTGGCCTGGTCTCCTGGGTCTTTCCCAGCTCCACGGTTCCTGACGCCTGCTAAACTCGTCCTCAGGATGAGGCAGAAGGCTCGCTAGGCCAGCCGCGTGTCCAGCTGCGTTCCCAGGACACAGAGAGACTCTGTCAGGGCGTGTGGGAGGGTGGCACCACCTCAGCTATCAATTCTCACTCCTCCTCCCAAGGTGGGCTCAGTCTTTGGAGAGCTCTGGAGGCCTGGTCGCGTGTCCTCGCAATGCAATGCGAGCTGTCTTTATGTTGCCCGAACTTGAAAGTCCCCTCACCGCAGCATCAGCTCCGTGCTGGGCTGGCGGAGTCTCGGCTGGTACTAACAGAAGTGGAGGGGCCAGCCTGCGGAGCCAGGCCTGTGTGATGCATCAGGCCTGGGGCACGTCACCCAGGCAGGTGACCAGAATGCCCCCCGCCATGCCTGCATCTCCTGGGGCCAAGCCCACCGCCTCTGAGAGTTAACACAGCCTGATTCTTACCCTTGAAGGTTGGGAAGCTGGTTAAAGAAGCCGCGTCCCGGAGCAACCTGAAGCGGGTCACCCTGGAGCTGGGAGGGAAGAACCCCTGTATCGTGTGCGCCGACGCTGACCGTGAGTGGCTGGGGCTGTAGGGCTCTTCTCTTTTCCTGGTGTGCGTTCAGGACCCGAGGAGAGAAGCATGGAAACACAGCGGCATGCTTTCCTCATGGGCAGGCCCGCCTGTTACCCTCCACGGGCTGAGAGAGGGTGAAGCACCAGGGCTGTGATGGGCAAGCACATGGCTTATGTGCCCTGCAGGGCCTACGCCTGAAAGCTAAGTTCACTTTCCTGCCCCTAAGGAGGAGCCTGTGAGGCTCCCGTGAGGGGCCTGCAGGCTGCGCCCAGGTTCTCCTACAGGAACTTTTCCAGGCTGGGGAAGGAGGAGGCAGGTTCCCTACTCTGAGCATCCGTTTTTCTATATTCACAAAGCCACTGTCGCCGCAGTGTTCTTAGGCTCTCGAGAGAGTTGAAGTGTTTCTTTCCTCTCTGTCTTGGGCCCAGCACACCAGAGGACAGCCTTGCTGACCCTTCAAAACACAAAACAAAAACACGCTCTGGGTGTCATTCCTGTGTGATCTCTTCCCCAGGAAAGCCACCTGCGCAGCAGCTGGGAGCAACTAGTGTCTTGCCAGAGCGGTGTGACACAATATTAAAATGTATGTTGTTGTTGGCTGTTGTTTCCAGAAGAGGGCAGAAAGGACCACACTGAGCCTTCATTTTCCACCCGATCACTGGGTCACCTATCAAGAGGTGTGGCTCCTCAAAGACCTTAGAGCGCCTATACCTTAAAGAACAGCCTCCCCCACTGTCCTGTCCGCCGGTGCCAGAAATTCCCTACGGGACACAGAGAACAAAGCCCTCCATTCCACACTCAGATAAGCCTGGAATCTCAAATAGCCCTGAGAAATAAAGACACTGACACAGTTTCTCACTAAGATGTGACGGACTGGTAGCAGTTCCTTTCCCTAACGCTCATTTTCCGTGGGAGAGAAGACAAGTGAGGAAGAGATGTTTCTGCTGGAGTCACTTGGCTTGTGGGCACGGTTTTGGATGTTGCCCTACTGTGACTCACATTTAGGGCCCCAAACCCCCACCGCAGAGAACCAGGACTATTTTGAGTTCTTGGGCCACTGTATGGGGGGGCGGGGGGGCTCCACCTGCTGTCCTCTCTGTGAAGTGTCTGTAGGGGCTGGTTTTCCAGGGTCATAAAAACAGCCTGTCCCCTTTATCCTCCTTCCTCCTCCTCCAGGGAGCGCCACTCCACACAATTAAATCCTGACATAATGCTCCGAGGTGACACACACGCACCACTCTGTCACTTCAGTCATCCTTCCTGGTTCCCATCAGGGACCAGAAAACGAACTGGTGTCCTGAGGAGGGGCAGTGCCAGCCGGGCTCCTGGCCCAGATGCAGGGGTGGGGTGCAGGGAGGTCAGAGAGCCTTGTGGGGCTGTTCTGTCACAACCTGTTGGAGTATAGCCCCTCCAGGGACAGGAAAGCTGGGGTGGGGGTTCTATGGAAGGGTGAACTGGGAAGTGTTCGCACCTCTGCACTCCTTGGCGAGTTAAAGGCCCTGGGAAGTCCTGCGCCTCGGACTTAACTCACACTTGGTGCATCTAAAATCCTTTCCCCCACCAAGCGCCGGGAAAGAAAACTTCGTTTCTGAAATGCGGTCATCTAGGCCCTGTTTTCTTGTGGGGGCAATTAAGAGTTGCAGCTGTCAGGCCTGCTGTAACAACTTAATCGCTTCCTCTTGCCTCCCCCGAACCCCCAGTGGACTTGGCTGTGGAGTGTGCGCATCAGGGAGTGTTCTTCAACCAAGGCCAGTGCTGCACCGCCGCCTCCAGAGTGTTTGTGGAAGAGCAGGTCTACGGGGAGTTTGTGAGGAGGAGCGTGGAGTACGCCAAGAAGAGGCCGGTTGGGGACCCCTTCGATGCCAAAACGGAGCAGGGGCCTCAGGTAATACGTCTCCACGTGTGGCGCTCCTCCGGGGGCTGAGCTAGGCAGCGGTAGGGCCACAGACAGGGTCCCTCCTCTAAGGAGAAGAGGCAGCCTGTGCTGTCACTCACTCAAGGCTTTTCTTTAGAAGCCGATGATGGAGTTGTTTCTGTCAGGAAATGGAGCTGCACCCACAGGGAACAGGGAGGATCCAGCCTCTCCCAGGAACAAGGCTATCTGCTGTAACCTGCAGCCTTCTTGATATGGTGACCTTCAAAGCCTGGGGCACAGCCAGGGCAAGGACTGACAAGCTGGTCTCAGGGGCCCTCAGGGCTACAGGCATCATAGCATGAGATAACCCACAGGAACTAGAGGGCTCGGGCTTGTACCCTGAGCAATGAGAACAGGTTTCTGCAGGCCTGGTTTGGGAAGCCTGGACGGGATGCGAATGGCTGTAACCAGGAAGTTTAATAACATTTGTAAAGGGCACGTCCTGTGCGGCTAATGTAAGTGAAGGAGATGGATATTTCAGAGGGCAGCCTGGCCCGCCATCCCCGCACTGTTGCAACAGAGCACGGCGGCAACCCTCTGCTTTTCTTTGCCAGACTCCTGTTCAGCCCTCACGTTTCCAGTCATATCCATGCCATACCCATTGCTGTCTGTCCCGGAAGCTCACTGAATTGGCGCCAAATGTTTTCACAGGAAACTGCTGAGCTCAGACTAGCCCCTGCAGCTTTGTTCCTCCCAGCCCTCACTTTGCTTGTCTGGAAAATGGGAGCAGGAGAGGGTGTGGCACCACCAGGAAGTGCTCCACAAAGGGAATAGACTTGTTTTAAGGGAGATGCAGTGACTGGCATCTCTCCCACCTAGGGGGCACACTCACCTCCGAGTGATTTCAGGATATCCTCATCAGTTGTGCCTACTTATTCTGTGTGGATGCTGGCTGGGGAAGGAGTGGAGGGGGATTTTCTGGCCAACCCCGACTCCAGTCCATGTGCTCTGCGGCCCTGGTGTCACGTTCGCTGGTGGGGAAGCTGTGTACATTCCCCATGCCCAGCCTCAACCACAAACTCTGCAGTCCATGTTCTCAGTGCAAATGTGGCCACAAATAGAGCAAGTATAGAATCCATGAGGTGTAGTGTTAATCTGGAATGGGTGGGAAACACACTAAGGATAGCTTTTTCTCCTGTCATTTCTCTCCTCTTCTTCCCACGTCTCCAGTGTGGCATTTCTGGGGAGCGGGTGTCTGTCCATTTCACCGGGGCTGGCTGTACAGAGTGCTTTTGGACCTCACTCATGTCGTCTAACAGGGACACTGTTTAGGATCCCGTCTATGTTCTTTTCCCTTTGCAAGACCTGTAAGGTTTTACTCTACAAGGCAGCCCAGAGCTGTCTTACCATCTTCTCTCTGTCTCAGGCCCGTGGAAGAGCTAGCTGACCTAGATTGGGGGCCAGGGCTGGAGACTGCTGGCTGGAACATTCCATCATCTTTCGGGTTAACTTGGCAGCTGAGCAAGGAAGCCACCTGGCCTGCTCAGGATCCGGAGGCGTCCTCTGCGGAGGTCCTGTGGGGGCCATCTTTTCCCACTTCTGGTGCTGTGCCCCGCCCTGTCATCTCACTTCCTGCCAGATCTTTCTTCCTGTGCTGTAGGCACCAGCTGACATTTCACGGATGGTTATTAGATTTAAACAACCTGTTTAAGAGGACTCATCGGGGAGCATGGAGTTTGGGTGTGCTGGGCTTCTGACAGGCATCCTTGCTGCCTGTGGAACGGATGGGATCTGCCAGAAGAACATAGTCCCAGCCAGCCAAGACCTGAGGCCTGATGAAGTTCCTCCAGTGAGCTATGTCGGCCCTCTAGGAAGAGAGAGGGGGTTTTTAACATAAGGATTATTTTTTCCACATTACCAAAAAAATGTTTTAAGTAACATTAATCTATTTAATTTGTACATGTATATGTTTGTGTATATGTGTGGGGCGCACATGCCACAGCCCTCATGTGGAGGCCAGAGACAGCTCTTTACTTCTACTCTGTGGACCCTTGCCGGGCCTGGGATTGAGCTCAAGCTGCCAGGCTTGAAAGCCAGCACCGTTATTTGCTGAGCATCTCACCAGCCCCGTCTGGAGCTTTTGAGCCAAGATGCGGTTCATCCAGAGCAAGGCTGCCAGGGCTTGAAACCGGATGTGTTTCGATTTCTTTCGTTACTCTTCTGTGTCAGCATGTGGCTCTAAACCCTCCCCATGTGCAAAGGACTACAGTGAAGGGGTGCCACCATCACCATGCCACCGACGCCCATTCTCGCCCGTCCCCACGGCGGGGCTCCTGCAATCTTTACTCCTGGCGTACCCCTCCAGGATTTCCTTGCAAGTAGGCAAGCAAATGTCATTATGCACTTAGATTTCCTCCCCCTTCTCTATGAGAAAGAGATCATGTCGGCTCCCCCACTGGATTCTTTTCCATTGTTCCTTGAAAAGAAACACAGAGGACTGTCACCGAACCTGGAGTTCACTGGGTAGATGAGATGAGCTGACCAGCAAGCCCCAGGGACCATCCTGTTCCCGCCCTCCCAGTCCTGGGATTATAGGTGTGTGTCACCATGCCCAGTTTCTTCCATGGGTGCCAGATATCCAAAGTTATGTCCCCAAGTTTTACTGACTGAGTCATTTCTCCAGCCCCGATTTTTTTCTACTTAATGTTTCTGGGATGAAACCAAGTATCCTATCTAAGTGTCTCAGTAACCATGTTTTTGCTGAAAACTCTGTCTCCCTCATCCTCGGGGTGGGGGTGGGGCGAACGACTCTGTCACCTGGGTCATGATAAGAGCATATGGATTTGAGGAAGAAGTCTATGAAGAAGAGGAAAGAGCATCTTCCCTGTTGAGCCGTCCCAAGAAGCAATGGCCTTTTGGCAGCTGGTTGAATACCAAGTCCCCCAGCTGGGTGTTAATCTGTGGCATGGGGCATAGGGCACTTTTCAGCCGAGGAGGGGGTAGCAGAAGGAAGAACTGTTCTGATCAGTTCATTTCCCTCCAGCCATGAAGCAGTACCCTAGTGTGAGGCTCACTCTGCTGTTTCCACGGGGGCTGAGTCAAGGGCTCGGCCCCTGCTCCCTTCTCTGCACTGTGTGATAAGATAATTCTAGTAAGTATCCACCCCCACCTACGGTATGCGGTGAGCAGGGTACAGGCTTGTCAGGTAAATATGACACCACTAGACTTGAATTTTAGACAAACTGAAGACATCTTAGTGTCAGTATATCCAAAATGCTGCTTGGCACATACTTACACTAAAAGCTACGGTATGTTGTATTTCTGATAGTTACATTTAGCCAGGCAGCCTGTGATTGTACTTGTTAAACCCAGTAATGGTAGCAGAATTCCAAGACCTGAGAGAATGCGACCAGCTCAGAATCCATTTCACCCTTAGACTTTCCTTACAGCATGAGGAAGAAGCCAGACATGTGAATAAGGCCTCAAGCTGGCAGGGGCAATCCCACAGAGCATAGGTCTGTGTATGGGAGGTACATCTACTCACAAGGCTCTCTGTTATCTGATCTAGGACTTGACAAGGACACAGCGTAGGAGCTGACCATTGATGGTGCGAAGGGCCATTGAAAATACTGGACAATAGTCCCCTCCTGGGAAGGAAGTATAATTCCCTTCTGTGTTTTGCAGATCGATCAAAAGCAGTTTGACAAAATCCTCGAGCTGATCGAGAGTGGGAAGAAGGAAGGGGCCAAGCTAGAATGTGGGGGGTCAGCCATGGAGGACAGAGGACTGTTCATCAAACCCACTGTCTTCTCAGACGTCACAGACAACATGAGGATCGCCAAAGAGGAGGTAGGTGGGGCTACGGCCAACCCGAGGCCTTTACAGGGCAAACAGTTGCGTTTCTGGGCAGCTCTGCTATCCTTTGGGGCTCAGGCATCCCTGGTGTCCCAAGGCTGGCAGCAGCTTCAGCGGCTCCAGTCCTGTTTCCGCCATGGCTCATGGCTTTCAGGCAGCAGCAGCTCCCTCTCTCCTTCCAACACTGTTACATGTTTTCAGTGACATACACAGCCCAGGTCCGCCATCTCTCAGCTTTGTGGGGTGTGTGTGTGTGGGGGGGGGGGGGGGGTTACCAGACACCAAACTATGGATTCAGGAACCATGGCCACGTCACACTCTTCAGACTGTCCTTCAACAACAAGTATCCCTCAAGGAATTTGATGCAGCTATAAATTCTCACTGACTTTTCTGCCGCAGCTGTTATTGACAAAGATGGAGATTAAGCACCCCCCCCTCGCCCCCCCCCCACCATAAAAGCATAAATTTCCCTTTGCCCCTCACTCGCAGTGTTAGGCACATGACTGCTCTTCCTGCACAGGGGGTCTGAGGCCCAGTGACTGGATTTTCAGGAGCTGCCTTCTGGAGCATGTGAGGGGATGGGCGTGTGAGGTGTCAAAGGGTTTCTCAGGGGTGGTGCAGAGCTCAGATCTTTATGCACTTCCTTTTAATTTATTTTTGTTGTTGCTGCCGTTTTGCATAATTCTTGATGAGGAGTTCTGAGGAGGCTGAGGAGTTGTCCAGAGACTGCTCACTCTCCTGGCACGTACCCCGACCTACCGGTTGAATCAATCGCAAGCTCTCTTCAGGATCCCCTCTGCGAGGGCCACCTTGTAGCTTCCCTTTCCCTTTCTTTGCTGTGTGACTATCGTGCCATTCCTTCCCCTGGGACTCACTATAGCAACTGTTAAAGTGTCTTCGTTAAGTGACTGGAGAGCAGCATTCATCCACCCATGAGCACCCTTCTAGAGAACTTTCCAGAATGCTATCCAATGCTTTTCCTTCTGCGCATGGGTTTTCCCAAAGCTGTGAGGCTGAAGGTTCCCAGAAACAGTGCTGGCATGGAGGGATCATAAATACAGTGTATATTCTTGGATCATCTTTCATTTTTGTTCCATCTGAATCAGCTATCACACAGCTATAGAGGTCTCTGGGATTCTTTGTCTTGGTGGGAAGGGCTCTGAGGCTATGGAAAGGCACAAAAGCCAGAAGGCCTGCTCAGGGCACACAGTCCTACCTTCACATGCCTCCTACTGCTCTCCTTGCAATTAATCACAGATTTTCGGACCAGTGCAGCCAATACTGAAGTTCAAAAATCTTGAAGAAGTGATCAAAAGAGCGAATAGCACTGACTACGGACTCACAGCAGCAGTGTTCACCAAAAACCTTGACAAAGCCCTGAAGCTGGCTTCCGCACTGGAGTCGGGGACAGTATGGTGAGCACTGAGCATTTTGTTGTTGTTGTCGTCTGGGCTTACTAGTTTCACTTTTCTTTAATTAGCGAAGATTCTGTTGCTGGGAGCCAAAGCTATTTACTGAAGCCAAAGCCAAATAGTGAGCAAAGGTCATTTAGTGGAGACCTAAAGCTATTTAGTGAAAGAGTTATCTAGGACCCTAAGTCATGGATGATAGATTTGTGAGGACATCCGTCTGTTAGTTTTAGAGCATCCGTGAGGTATCTTAAGAAAACATCCTTATGGTATCTTGCAGGGCAATATTCAAGCCATGAAAGCATTCTTGCTATCTCCTGCAGCAGTAATTAAGCCTTCCCCCTTTTCCTGCCTTCTCCCTATATAAGTTGGGTAAAAATTTCTAATAAATGAGCCCTTGATCAGACAAACAGACTTGGCTTCCTTCCTTGTGTCTCTTGTCCTACCCCATTCTTTTCACAACCCCCCCTCTTAGGAACCCGTTGAACTCCCACAGGTTAGGACATTCTGTGATGTGAGCTCTCTGTTTAAGTGCTCTGTTGATTGCCCTCTGAAATGGGTATCTTATGGCCTTAAGTTCTTCATTTTTCATATGAAGAAACCAAGACATGAAAAAGATGGCATCACACAGCTAGTACAATCGACCCTGCATGTTTCCCTGCAGAGGATTATTCCTTGCTGAGTGACCATACCCTTTGGCTATTCAAGTTCCTTGTATGTGCAGGCAGCTTAGGCACATCTTCCAGCTTGCTGGCTGGCTCTGTCTATCTCTATCTATCTATCTATCTATCTATCTATCTATCTATCTATATCTATCTATCTATCTATCTATCTATCTATCTGTATCATGCTTGTGCTGTGGTCCAGGACCTGGAACATACTAGAAAAAGCATTTTACCTCCAAGACACACCCCTCTTGCAGCCCTCAAAATCATCTATGTGCTTTGCAACACCCAACACAGTGCTGTGTTGATATTTGTTGTACAATATTGTTTAGGGAACACTGGCAAGTTGAAAAGTAACTCTGCCAAAACTCTGGATCTGAAGTTGGTTGAGTCTGTGAGTGCAGAACCAAGGGTCATCAAGGGCCACTGGACGTAGTCAAGGAGGCTCCAAAGCCTAGACCTTCGACCCACTGTGCTGTGCTACCTTTCTAATTTTGTCTCTGGTGGATTCTAAAACCCATATATAACTAGCCTGCAAGGTATGGGCACTTATTCCTGCTCACTGATAATTCTGAACACTGATACTCATGCCCATCTTTCAAATGAGTGAAATGAGACTCAAAGAGGTCGAGCAAGCTCAGAGTCACATAGACTAGGAAGCAGAACTCTGAGGTCAGGACTGCATCGTTGCACAGCTAACTCATCCCCTAGCTTTCTTCCTCAGAATACTCTAATTGTAGTTTCTGCGGGATAAACAGGAAGGGGGAGTAAAGAGCAGAAAGAGTGTGCTATGTTCCAGTTATTGAAACTTTGACCCAAGGCCATGTGTTAGGCATCACTGTGCCTCCAGTGTCTTAAGATGCAGGCACGTGTTCTCCAGGTAACCTGGGCATCTTTTGCTCTTTCTCTAGGGTCAACTGCTACAATGCATTCTATGCACAGGCTCCATTTGGTGGCTTCAAAATGTCTGGGAATGGTAGAGAATTGTAAGTATTTCTGATCCCCCACATCCCCCCTGCCAAGAAGTCTGCTGGTCCCTCAATGGAGACTGCTTGGGATGTCTCCTTTCTTGCCTCCCTCTTTCCCATCCTTGTCCTTCTCTAAGCCCTAGAACCAGCCTGCAGCCTTCACTTCTTGTCCTGACCAGCGCCATCACCCTAGGGACAATCTACAGTTCTTAGGCCTAGTGAAAACACACTGGGTCAATTCAGGCCCTGAATCTGCCCAGCTTTGCTTTGCGAACCTGGCACAAGCTTGGAGGACATGCTGTGGGTGACCCTGCTTCCTTTTGGGTAGTTTTTGTGGGACTGTGTTATACCTCCATGGTCCCAGCAGTACATTCTGGGCCTGAACAAGTTCCTCTAGTCGTTCCCTCCTGGTCTCCAGAGATCAAGGATCTTACCTCTGGCCTGGGCTGAAGCTGGGTGGGGTGTCCCTAAGTAAAAAATGCTGGGGTACCCAGCTGAATGCTCTCTCCATTTCCCCTTACTGCCACCCTGGATTGTATTAGCCAGTCTGGACAAACCTCTCGGTAGGCTCAGTGTTTCTGGGGAGCCATCTATAACAACACCCCAAGGCTGTTCCTGGACATTTCTGGGGGGGGGTGTTCTTCCTTTTACTTAAGCAGTCTGTCTTTACTTACAAATGCATTGCCTTCTACATGTTTGTACCTCTAGTCAGAGCGGACTCGGCACTTCTCCTCAGCCTAGGCCTTAGTGCGGTCACAGAGCAGCTCTCCTGGTAGATCCTTATGGTGGAGAGGGCTGCCTTCCCCTGTTTTTTGACAGTCTACTTGAATTTGGGGTCCCTTACTCCACATCAGCTCTTGTACAGATTATCCTCAACTCATGACAGATGCCCAGGGGTCATCTGCACACACGAACAGAAAACACAGAGTGGCTTCTGTACCCATGACTGGTTCTCTTGCAATAAATTACTGATTCTTGGCCACAGAGACCCATGGCAGGAGCTTGGTGGTACTCCATTGGCAGCCCATTTGCCATTTTGGAGCCTCTACTTCATGGCTTCTCAAAGGGACTTGCCAGCTGAGGATGGGAGGCCAGGGCTACGGCTTCCTGAATTCCCTTCAGGCTCCCACAGTAGTAACAATGCTGGTGGTAGCTGGCACTTTGCTCAGCACAGACTCTAGAAGGTTTTGAGAAGCCCTCCTTTCTTCATGGTCTAAGAGACAGTCCATGAGAGGAGATAACAACTTTCAGGAGAAGACACGGACCCAGGAGGGGGTCAGAAGAGTTAAGAGTGGGGCTGGAGAGATGGCTCAGCCATTGAAGGCTGGGCTCACAAGCAAAATGACGAGATTAAGAATAACATTGGCACCTTGGGCTTGGGTAGCCCAGGGCTCGCTAGACAGAGACCACCTGTGCCTTTTTTGTTTTTTGAGTTTTGTTTTGCAGTCCTGGGCACTGAGCTGAGGTCATCCAGCATGCTAGCTAAGTTCCCTACCACTGAGCTAGGAGTCAGCTCAGTAAACCTCTTCAAATAAACCCAGCTGAGCTCATGTGGTCACTTGTCTACTCCAGTCTCTGTCTTTACCCAGGCAGGCTGCAAGGGCTAAGGAACCCATACCCCTCACAGCCCCTCTTCCAGAGGCCAGGAGGCAGTGAGCACTCCAGTCCCCTAAGTGAAGGTCATTTGGAAGGACACAGAGAGATTGGAAGGCATATAGGGGACACTTGCTACCTGGCTTTTGCCAGCATCATTGGAAATTCAGTGTGCAGTTTTCCTACCTGGGCCTACTCCCTATTATCCTCGGGTGGGGTTCATGGTCCCTAAGCCTGCCCACTGGCTTGGTAAGCTCACAGACCTCAGTCATGTTTCATCCTGACAACTGCTCTGGGGGTTTTCTTGAATGTCTGCTTTTTGGATAATTGTCATATATTTTCCTGAAGCTTTTTGTTGATGAGGTATTTTAAAAGTCATTCATACGGAGCATGGAAACTGCCTTGAAAAATAATTTCTGTTTTCAGTTGTTTCAGATTAATGTCTCCGTGTTACAACATGTTCCCCTTTCCTATGATGGAGCACCAAACGGTGGATTCCATGGTTTTCCCCAAATTAATCACTGGGGCTGGGCTGGTTACTGGCTGCTCACCCGCCAGCCCCTCTGGGATACGTTTCTGGGCTGGTCTTGGACAGAGCCTGAAAAGTCTTATCCTCCTAGTGCATTGCTTTCTGGTTCTTTGATTTGCAGTATAAATAAGGCTTACAGCATCCAAGCCAGCAAACAAAAACTCATACAATGAGGTCAGACCTTCCTCCCTGACCCTCAGTTCCCACCTGGTCACGAAACCACTGCTCATTTTATTTTGTTCATTCACTCATTGATTCACATGGCAAGCAGTCATCTTTGCCTTTCTAAATTAAGAAAAATTAATCTTATATTTAAAAAAAAATTAATGGTGGAAACAAAAATAAACCTAAAACCAATGCTTGACCTTGGCCTCCCGCCTGGCCTCGTGTTTCCCAGCTGGATCTCTAAGGACATTCTCGCTGACAGCAGCTTGTCCAAGGGCAAACCCACAGTGGACCCCATGGGCATGAGGGCATGTTGCCATGACTGTAGTGATACACTTTCACAAAGGATGCGATTTTTGGTCTCTTGGTGATTTTCTTCTTGCAAATATTTGTTGACCATCTTTACTCCTCCAAGCTTGGTTGGTGTTAAGTTCTGGGCATTTGTCAGTGAACTATTGTCAATCCTTGTCCCCATGGTTATTCTAGGGAGATTTTTTGGGGGGGAGGAGGGTGAGGAAAGCTGAGCTCCCAAATGGCTTTGGTTGCCGAGGTAGAAATGGCTGGGTGAGGGGTTGAATGAGGACAGCAGAAACTTGAATCAGAACAACAGATGAGGAAATAAAAAGAAGACTGAGGAATCTACATCCTGTTTCTTGCAAGACTGCTGACACGTCTGAGCTTGTTCAACATGAGCTAATTTGGAGAGTCCATCTAGATTGATAAATCACTAACACTTAGAAGTTTTGCAAAGCAACACTATTTTCTCATTTTGAAAGTTTATGGTGTGTTTTCTATGGATATGCATAAATCTGCTTGTTCTTTTTTCTTCGCTAATGTGGAAGCAAACTACTTTTTGCCCTCAGAAATGGGTCTTGGATACCCCCCAGTCTTTTAGTGAAAGCCTCCTAGAATGGGCGTTAGTGTCATTTCCACGGGCTTTTATTATTACAAACTCTGTTTATATACCTCTTTATGGGTAAATATTTATACAATCAGGGTGACTGTTTTCAGAATGAATTCCTAGAATTCAGTGCTCAGCCACATGAAAGCGCTCTTGTCTCCGTGTGGGTTCTCATGTCTTTAAGTGTGAGGCGTTGAGTGCCTCTCTCACACTTACTGGAATTTGTATTTCTTTTTTTCTGCAAAATATGAGTATGTCCTCTGTGGAATGTTTTCATTCGTTTGTTTGTGTTTCCCCTATTGCTTTGCAAGAAGGCCCAGTATGTTGATGAAAACAGCACACCTTCTTAATGGCGACATTAAGAGTGGCCTATGTGAATTCTCTCTAGCTGACAACTGAAAAGGAGTGTAGGCATCCCCATTGCACAGCTGAAATCATCAATGCCGATGAGCTAGACTCATCTACACGATTCTGGGCCCTAACTGCTCTTATAGTTAAGCAGGCATCAGAATCACCCAGGGAACCTACTGGACACAAATTTCTTGACTCCGCCGAGGGAATTGCTGATGCCATCAATGTACTGGCTTTTCTGGCACTGCAAAATTAGTGTCTTAGATGATGCAGCATGTGATCCATGCTCTGAAGGATAGGCGCAGCTCTCTCTGAGCTTAGATCACCGTGGCAGCTAGCCTGCATCCTCTTTAGAGGCTGTGAGGACTGAGTTTCCTTGCCTTACGCAGCCCCCAGAGGCTCACCTCCTTTTCGGCCGATATCCTCTTCCATCTTCCCAACCCGCCTAGTAGTACCTTTCTGCGTCTTGTCTCACTTTGGCTCAGCTCTCTTCCTCAACCCTTAAGGACTGTTGAGCAACTCAAATGACCCAGAAAATTCTCTTTTTGAAAGTCAATTGATTACCCACAAGAATTCCTTCCATCTCTAGCATCAGTTCTCCCTTGCTGTGTAACCTAACATGTGCATCAGGACAGAGGAGTAGGGTATGGACAAATTTTACTATTTTCTTTTTCATTTTTAAAAACTTATTTATTTTTTATTAATTACAGTCTATTCACTTTTTATCCCAGCTATAGCCCCCTCCCTTGTCCCCTCCCAACCCCACCCTCCCTTCTTCTTCTTCTTCTTCTTCTTCTTCTTCTTCTTCTTCTTCTTCTTCTTCTTCTTCTTCTTCTTCTTCTTCTTCTTCTTCTCCTCCCATGCCCCTCCCCAAGTCTACTGATAGGGGAGGTCTTCCTCCCCTTCATCTGACCCTAGCTTGTCAGGTCTCATCAGGACTGGCTGCATTGTCTTCCTCTGTGGCCTCCTTCAGGGGGAGGTGATCAAAGAGCCAGCTACTGAGTTCATGTCAGAGACAGTCCCTGTTTCCATTATTAGGGAAGCCACTTGGACACTGAGATGCCACGGGCTACATCTGTCCAGAGGTTCTAGGCCTGCCCAATTTTACCTGCCACAGTAGGCCCCGGTGAGAGTCCCAGAATCTACATTTCTGAAACATACAGAAGTAAGGCTGCTGCTGCTGCTGCTGCTGCGCTGCAGGGTTTTAGGTCTTACAGATGAGACAGGGCTGTCGCTCAGATCTTTAGTACAGAGACTGAAATGGCCATCTCTACCCCTACCTTTTCTGGAACCAGAATCTACTGGTGTGTGTGTGTGTGTGTGTGTGTGTGTGTGTGTGTGTGTGTGTGTTTCTGCAACCACTAAAAGTATATACACTAGGGAGGAACAGCATCCACGCTGCGTCTAAGAAGGGCATCCACTCCAGTGATGGTCTGTGATGCCTAGGAAAAAAATCCCTAGCCCCTATAAGAGGTAAGGGAAGGAAATATGCCAGAGGTTCTACCCTGCGGGTCATTTCCTCCCTCTGTCTAACCTGTGCCAGTGGTTGCTCCCTTTCCCCTGCAGTGTGACCCAGCTCCTCTTACAGCTGTTTCCTTTAGAGCCTGATGTCCCTGTGGTGCCCTGGCCACCTCCTCAAGCTTAGACATCACCTTTTCTGTCTCTTCCAGTAGAAACCAATCATTGCTTAAAACTTACATAGTCAGGGCAGTTCTCACAGCCCGGGTACCTCACTCACCATATAGGCCCCTCTTCCTGACCGAGAGAGCTGTGTTTGTCCTGTTCTTACCTCTCATTGTCCAAAAGCAGAGTCTCAGTTCTTTTAACTGCTTCAAAAGCCTCCCACACAGGAACTTAACATTTAGACTTACATTTCCAGTTTCTGTCACTTAGTAAAGGCATCGTCATCCCTTACTATGTCCAGGCAGCACACCGTGTCCTGTCACTCAAACCGTCCAGCAGAGTGTTCGGGCATTAGAAGAGTTTTCCCAGAGCCGTGAACTGACGGTGTGAACTTCCCCCTTCTTCTCTGTCACCACAGAGGTGAATACGCTCTGGCTGAGTATACAGAAGTAAAAACTGTCACCATCAAGCTCGATGACAAGAACCCTTGAAGGACAGACCGACTTCTTCCTCAAAAGCTGGACCGCTGACCATGGCAACTCCAACTTGCCATGTGCAGAGAGCAGGGTGACAGTGCTCAGCCTCCCAGGACCCTCTCTTCTGGACACACGATCTACTGGAGTTTAACGGTTTTGATTTTCCTCTCACACTCATGCTTTACGGACCAAACTGTGGGTGGCTGGATGTTCTGTGTGAACCTGCAGGCCTGCCTGGGGAGGAACGCTTATCCAGCTCTGGCTTTGCCTTTAGACTAAGTGCAGGACACAGCAAACACATCTGGGGCCCTGCTACTACAAGGTGGTCTCTGGAGTGTCCCGCAGTTACTTTAAATGCTTCGCTCACCCCAGGAGGAATGTGAAAAGAGCCCACTGCATGTCCTGCAAGCAGATCTGCTCTTGCGACCATGCCTCGGGGGTCACCCGCGCACAGAACAAGTCCCCCCCTCATTCTGAGGCACAAGTGGGATTACTCACAAGCAAAGGGTTAGTGTTGAAATGAAAGGAGGATTCCAGGAACCCCGTGTGGGGAACTTAGGGACACATAAGCCACCGAAAGGCGCCGGGAGCCTTTGGGTTCTGCAGGGTTGCCGGTCGTAGAGGCTGCGTGTAGACACTGATTGTGGGATTCACCTTGAAAACAGTCCTGACTTTGGAATTACCAAACCAACAACCCAAAGAACCTGCCCTACAGTTACGAGATGGTCTTTCATAACTAAGGCTCATCTTGGGCAGAGAATATCCCTTGCCACTGAGGACTCATTTGAGAGCTACCACAGCAGAGCAAACCCTAGACAGTCAAACCCTAGACATTTGACACTCAGAGCCATCGTTCACTTTTGCAGTTTACCCATTTCTAATACATCCAGTGATGAACACACCCACTTCCTTTTTCTCATCTCCAGCTCCATTACTCATTTTAGATCAGTAAAGCACACACCACCGAGAGACAGCTGCCACTGCATAGCTCCGTAGTCATAAAAATCCAGTTTGGATTTTCATTTCTGGTTGGCCCAACACACAGCACCTGGATCCCATAGTGGAACAGATCATCAGCCAAGTGGCCTGGGGATTGGCATTCACATTATGACATTTTTCTTTTCCTCTTTGGTATACGATATGCAATTCCAGGTTTGAACTTGGGAAACTAAAAACCGTTCCCATAAAGCTTTAAGGATAAAACCAAACTCACTGGGTTAGCTGCTGTTCGGGTACTTTCACCGTCAGTCACATGCACCTCTCTAGTTGGACGTGATGCTTACATTTGAGGATGAGGGTTAAGACTGAGCAACAGTGAAAAGGAAGGCTCCTCCTCCCAGAACCAGTGTGTGCATGAAGAATATGGTACATGATTTGGGGGCTCCCCGTTTACCTTCTTTCCTCCCTCAGCACATGTACTACCAGTAACTGGTGAAATCAGGATTCGGACACTGAATTTTGAGTATCTCAATAACTCTAGGCACTACCCTTCTACCATAGTACAATAGAGGGTTGCTCCTCTTCTGGTGGACAATAATGCCTTTACTATGAAATGTTACATTATTTATAATTGGTATCATTAATGTATCTTTTTATAGCTGTAAGTACACAGAGGTAGTATATTTAACCTTCTGTAATATACTGTATTTAGAAATGAAAATCTATATAATGTTAGGTTTCACTTCTTCCAAGGTTTACCCCTGTGGTATGGTTTTTAAATCGACTGGACTGGGAATTTTGATCCTAACTTCAGATTGTGTTCAACAATGATAAAATAAAATTGGACATTTGAGAAATGTTATTATTTTTTTCAATGAAGGACTAACCCATTTGAATTCTGTGGCAGGCCTTTCTCTTTCTGAGACTTCTGGGCACTGTGGCTTTTGATAAGGTGATGGCAAAGGCAATAATAAATTTATTCTCCTTCAGTAAGTCACACACAGGGCCTTTCTTGATGGTAACATCCATTTCTATAGCTGTAGATGGCGAATAGCTTACAGGCTAAGTGTAAGGCGCTTTCTACGTTGCCCGAGTCCCTTTTCATCACAAAGCCATGATGACCGAGTGCAGAAAATGAGGATTAAGGGGAAAAACTCTTGTCCCCAAATAGTGACCATGGATCTATTTTTGTGACTTTTCTCTACGATCATCGAAGGGTCTGGACTTAACTTAGCCAAAGTTCTTAAAGCTTCGAACCGCCGAGAAACATCAGTCACCCGGCTATGGCCTGCCACTGATGCTGGAACAGAAACCGTCACTGGGCTTGGGTAGGTCTGGAAAGATCAAACTGTGACCTCAGCATCAAAAGCCCAGGCAGCCGACTCATGTGGAAAAGCACCACCCCCTTAAAAAATGGCATGAGGGAGGTTGAACCAGACCTCCCTCGGTGTGCACTTGTGCATGTTTTGCTGTATTTATGAACATTTCGTTTCTTATCCAAACGTGAACAGAAAGTGATATAAAAGGACATCTTTGATTGTTCGATTAATTAGAACATGCCTGCCTCAAGAGAACCCTTGTAAAGACATGTTTGTGTGTGTGTGTAGAAATGCATATATGCACTTGTATGCCCGTGGTTGGGCACATTCTCTAAAAGAAGACACTTTGGGATGCTCTAGCTTCACCTCTTGCTGAGGGTCTTCTTTCTGATGTATTCTCCTTGCTAGAATCCATGCATCAGACTGTGCTTGCAGGTAGAGATTTGGGGGTCTTTTAGTTACTGTTGGAGGCATCAAAAGAAAGTATTTGGCTGAACAAAGGCAAGCATCCGAAGGCTAAAAGAACAGTTAGCCTCAGTGTAATGTTCATTCTGAGAGGTAGGTAGGTGGCTGACCTACCTCTGGCTGTGGTCTACCAGATGACCCCGTTGTAGATAGGGTCATTCCAACCTCAGGCTTCTGAAAATCTGGGTGGGATGTGAGGAAACACAAAAAGAACATGGGTCTGCAGGAATGAAAAATAAATGAAAAGGAGTTTTAGTTGCTCTGCAATAGCCTCCTTTGCACACTTGTGACTAAAACACGCCTACTGGGTAGAGCTGAATGCTGAAATGTGACCATCTCAAAAAAAGGCCAGATATGTGTCAAATGTTCCGGATGTTTTTTGTTTTTGTTTTGTTGTTGGTGGTTTTATCTTATTTTTTTTTTTTTTTACATTGGGCATTTTTCCTAACCTATTTCCAGGCTTGTTTAAAGGGGAAATTTTCTTTTTCTTCTTAAAGTTTATTAATTTTTTATTCACTTTACATCCTGGTTTGATCACCCCATCCCTCCTCCTCTCCCAATCTCACCCTTCCTCTCTCCTATTCCCCCCCCCTCAGAAAAGGGGACCTCCCGTTTCCATCCACCCCAGCTCATCATCGAGTAAAGGGGAAATCATTCTCGCCACAGTAAGAATTGGCAAGGTAAGTTCCCTAGTGTTGGTCCTGGCACTAGGCATAGATGTCCTCAGAGTAACACTAGGTGGCAGTGATGTATGCCCTGAAGGCGGCACCCACCCAGGCTTATTCAAACTGCTGAGGCCATGCCTTGTAAATTATTAGGGACTTTTCGGAAGCAGTTATATTGCTGCGCTTGCCAGTTGGTCTGAGGACCTCGATGGCGAGGACAGCGTTGCAGAACTGCGTCTCCTTTTTTTTTTTTTTTTTTTTTTTGAAAAGGTGTTCGGTGGAGGGAAAGCAGAGCAGAGCAATGCTGCCAAATAGGGACCCAAACACCAACTCTAAGTGCACCCTCGCGGTGTTCCTGAAGTAGCTCAGGCGGTCCACAGCTGCCCAGATTCTTAGGTGCTTTGCGCACGGTCTCGGTAACATTCGTTTTGACCGGAGTTGCGCCTAAGTGCAGAGCCGCTTTTCCGCCAAGGATTGTCTTTTCCGGGTATTCTGGAGCGGAATCTTTTCTTGGTATTCAGGAGCGGAATCAGAAGCCCGCCTGCAGCTTGGCCGTGTGTAGCCTGCCTTTGGTTATTACCCTCAGTGGCATCACCTGACAACATTCCACTATGTTTTTACACCTCAGCACCACAGCCAGGCAGGTGGCGAGCGCCTGTTGCTACTCCAGAGCACGAATATCTCTAAAAAGAATCACCAGCTCGTGATAATCTTTGCAAATGTCCATAACTAGGTGTGGTGAAAGGTTTCCAAAACATCACCACCCTTTAAAAAGTAGTTCCTGCCTCACTCCCTAAAGCCCCGCACACACAGTGATAGGCTCGTCCTTTTAATCTTTACAGCCAGAGCGCACAGCCAGCATATAGGATAGAAATTAATCTGTTACCAGAGCACAGGCCGAGCCTAGCACGGGGCAGTCTTGTCACTGTGCCTGTCCCTAGGGAAGACAGCAGGGCATCCGAATTTGGGGAGGACTCCACAAAGTCTCAGGGGCCCTAGCATCTACCGAGGCACAAGAGCTTGGACCCGGACGTCTTGCAGCTAGGGAAGCCGAGGCAGCCCCCACCCCCCAGGGGGACCGTGTGGGTATGTGCGGAGGCCTGGGGACGGCCGACCCTCTGGCACAGCCCGGCTTCCGCGCCACCCGCCGTCCCCGCCCGCCAGGCGGCCGCAGGATTGAGGAAGTGCGTCTGGCCCCGCGGCGGCGGCCAGAGCTTTGCAGGGCAGAGCCCGGCAGTACACGCAGGCCCCGGGCCGCTGCTGTCGCCAGTCCCCGGTTCCCGGAACCCGCCACCGCAGGTAAGCGCCAAGCGGGACCGAGCCCTGCCCCGAGGACCCCGATAGAGCCTGCACCCCGACAGCCAAGCTTCGCCAGCGCCGCCCCGTCCCGCGCCCGGGTCCCCGCGTGCAGCCGCGGCCGTCGGTCCTGAACCGTGAGCCCCGCTACGCAGCCCCTCTCTCCAACCCCCCACCCCGCACCCCAGGAGGCCGCATGCACAGGACCCCGGGGGTCCCCGTGTCCCGGACCCGCAGGTCACAGATCTGGGGGGCGCCTGGATCTCGGGACAAGCTGGGGCTCCTCGCTGCTTCTCTAGCTGAGCCGAGACGCTTGAAGGGTTAAGCGGGTGCGGTGCTGGAGCTCGGGGAGCCGGGGGACCCCGAAATCCCGCGCCCAGGATCGGAGTGGAGCGGGGGGCGGGGAGCAGAGTTCAGAAACAAAAGTAGGAAACACCGGGGCGGCTGCAAAGTTCTTTTGCTTTTGAAGAAAGCCTGGATTTTAACTGGGGGGGTGTCTAGGCGTGTGGGCGCGTGGGAGTGCGTGAGCGCCCGGGACTGGAGGGGATGGCTCAGCAGGCTCTCCCCACGCTGCCCAGCCCGTGGTGCAGCGTGGTCTGGAGGTCTTCCCCTCCTCCACGCTTTGGGCGCGCTTCTCACCCGGTAGCCGCATCTTGTGGCTATGGAGAAAAACCGCCAGCGCTGTTGCTTCAGCCTGCGGTGGTCCCTAGTATGGATGGGGGCAAGAATGGAGGGCAACAAAGACAGGGATGGAGAGACTCTAGGGATGCTGACAGGCAGTTCAGTCTGTCTTTTAATAGTTCGAGGCCATTAAGTTTTCCTCTTGCATGCACTCACCCCTGCAAAGACTGAAACAGGATAAATAAGCAAATCCTCACCAAATAATCCATTTTTAATGAGTTGGTCACTTACAGAGCACATCAAATTTGTAGATTTTGAAAAACCTCAGCATTGGATTCTTCTTTCTCTAATTTGGCTGTCATTGTCTTTTTGCTCATGTTCCAGAAAAATGTAGCATACCAACAACTGGTTTGTTCCTAAGGCCTTTCCTGCCACCCCCACCTCTACGTCTCTTTAACAGCTTAGGTATAATTAATAGTAATATAAGTAAGTGAACAAATAACTAAACAGACCAGCTAAGGGCGGCTTAGCACTTTGTAAAGCGCTTGCTGGTCAAGCGTGAGGGTCTGAATTCAGATTCAGAAACCACATAAAGCCAGATGAGGTAAAGATTGCTGTACAATCCCAGCATGCCCTGTCCTGGAGATGGGAGGCGTAGACAGGAGACTCCCTGGAAACTCACTAGCCAGCTTGGCATAGGCTGCCGTGAGGAGGACACCTTATCTCAAACATGGTGCAAAGAACAACACCAGACATCATCCTAGGACCACAACACACACACACACACACACACACAGAGAGAGAGAGAGAGAGAGAGAGAGAGAGAGAGAGTGACAGAGACAGACAGAGATTAAAAATAAGAATCACCCTAGAAATTTTTTTCATCTCGGAGTCCAGTCTATTGTCTTGTTGGTTCCATCCCCAAAAGTACCCTCCCTGGTCTGATGCACATAGTTCAAATTGCCACCATCTCTGCCATATCATTACAGTCCCCTTCCTCTGTTCTGGCTGCCAAGCAAAATGATATGGTATATAGACATTTTTTGCTTTAATATTTGTTTTTACAAATTATTTATACAATATATTTATCATTATCTTCCCCACTCCCAACTCCTCCCAGATACTTCTCTCTGTTCATCCAATTGTATATTCTTTCTATCAAAAACAGAACAAAATAAGAAAAAAAAAAACCCTGAACCAAGCCAAACAAAGAACTCAAAAAACAAAACAAACAAACAAACAAACATGGAGTCTGCTCTCTGTTGATCAACTACCCCTAGGCAGGGAGCCTGCCCTGGAGGGCAGCTGAAAACTGATTTTCCCTGTTCCAGCAGGTATCATCACGGTTGCAAATAGCTTCTTGGTTGGGAGGTGGGACTTTGTGCCCACTTCCCCTTCCCAGTGTTCAGCTTTCTGTGTGGTTTGCACCTGTTCAGGCCCTGTGCCTGCCGCCACAGTCTTCATGAACTCACATGTGCCCCAGCCCTGTGT